AATTAACATTATAAAATTCTGGTAAAAAAGTATATATAACGTAGATTTTACTTCACTATTTTTAAATTTACGTTAGGCAAAGTTATTTAGACGTTAAATATTATGTTTATTTTTAAAAGAAAGTGGAGTTAAAGTTACCACAATAAATGTATTTTTCACTCCTAATCAGAAGTTAAAAGTGCTATTAGAAAAATCGAATTGATTTCTGTTAAGGTTAAGGTAACAAAATTGCAAGTAGTCTGCAGAACGTTCAAGTGTCTTTTAACAGTAGCAGTGTTCATGCAGGAATCCGCAGCCTTCAGTTTTATAAGGCAAATCGTTTGGTCGCGAATTCAGATCCAAACAAGCTCTTTGATATCTAATGCGAGAAAACTAAACCTGGTCAATATGTTACCTGTTAGAGTTCAGAAGTTGGGTGTTGAATGAAGAATATTCTACTGGAGTGCAGATACCAAAAGAGTAGTGAATAATCCGTCATCATGACATTTTGAGTTCAATAAGGAATAACGTTTCATTTTCACCAGAAAAAATTGTTCTTGAGCAAAAATTCAGTTTCTTGTTTGTCACCTAAAGAGATGTACATTTAGGAATGAAGAGAAAAGTAGTGTACATTATTGATAAGCTGCTGGATCAACCTTAGGGCAAGGGTTGGACGGAACTTTCACAACTCACTTTTTAAAAAAACCTGCCGCTGTATGCGGAGAAGATGATATTTTGGAAGTATGCCAAAACCAAACTAAAGAGTTTCCTGTGAGAAATTTATATATACTTACTATGAGTATCATTATATTGCTACTATATTAGCAATATAGTAAAAAATAATAATATAATAAAACAAAAATTTGGGATATAATTAGCATTATAAAAAAGAGTAACTTCATAAAAAATTCAACCTAACGTGAAACATGTTCTTTCTTTTACATTTCATGAACGTCAATTTTACAAGATATGAGGTAGATTTTACTTTAAATTATTGCTGTTTTGACACTTTAATTTAGTTAACATAGCATCTATTACGCCAGATTGACAACTCTTCATGGTATATCTACCAATTTAAATAAGTCATTTGGTGACAGCAATTGTAAAAATGACTGCAACTATTTTGTACCCCTGACTTTAAGTATAATGTTATCAGTATCCGAAATTTATGTCATTTCAACAATAACATTAGTGTTATTTCGGCTATATTTAAAAAGTAATTATTGACTGCACTGTCAAAGTGACTCAAAATTGCGGTGGACCTGCTGGAACTAAAATTTGGAGTCAGTCTGACTTTAAATTTTTTACAGTGAATACTTCTATTTATGTATACATCAATGTTTTAATTTTGATTTATTAACTCCACAACATCTGACTTTTATTATGTAGACAGGTGTATAAGTTACCTGTACTTTTCAATTTCGGAAGACCGGAAATTTTGAAATATGAAATCACAAAATAAATTATATTGATCAACTTTATCTCTTCCGTTTCAGGTAAGCGACATTCGCTTTTCTTGTGACTACCTGTTGGACTGCAAAGAATTATCTACGACGATCACGTAAGTCATTTTTGATATATCTAGATATATTGTATGTTCGTACCAATTGTTCTGTTGTTGGTAGAAAGTGAAGTGAGCCCATACAGTGAGTGATGTGTACGGCCTTATAAGTATAACTTGTCACTATAATCAGATATTAGTGAGGGGTAGGTATTCACATACACTTATACCTAATAAAATATTACAAGTGTTACTTTAATTTTTTAAATTTTGAAGTAATTTATTTCAGGACGATTTAGATTTCTGTCAGTTCTGGAAGTCGTTACCTGTTGAAGTTTAGGCATATACTGATGAATAGTATTAACAGTCTATAGTTTCAAAAAACTATGCAGTGTTTATATTATTTATCACAGTGTACATTTCCATGTGTTCTTTCCCTATGGATGGAGGATGTGTAGAGCGAATTGCCGAGTAGGTAAGTGAGAAATTCTTCTCCGAAAGCTAAAATGATCTTTACTCGCAGAATATGCATTACGCGCTTAAAAGCAATATAATTAATAAGATATTCTGTATTAATTATCACAGAATATAATTAGATCTTTTTTTCAATAAAAAGCAGTCAGGAATGTTCTTTATTAATTATGTTATTTCATCAACGTTTCGCCTTCCTTAATAAAGAGCATTTCACCCCTTTGTGAACTCTTTTAATTGAAATATCTTAATATGTCATTGAAGAAAATAGTAAAAAAGGTATAAGGGAGTTTTTGGTGTCCAAATTTGATAATTAAGTACATAGAACTACACTATAGGTTTTGATGATCAATACTAATACCTTTGAATACGGGTGCGAAGGCGCTGAGGAAAAGAAAAGATTAGAAACGTTCGAAATGTGGTGTTAAGAGGGGTAAATGTACACCTAGGTTCGATTACCTACTGTTCGCAAATAGTTAAATATGTGGGTTGTTCTAGTTGCGAAAGTTAGCTCAAGATAGCCCTAGACAAAAATTTTCAGTCTCTCTCTGTGGATCTCTCACAGTCTCTGTATGAGAGACTCGAACGATAAAATTGTTAATTTAGAGATTCGAGTCTTTCGTAGAAAGACTGGGATCTCTGAAATATGTTGAACTTAGAAAATTTTAACCATGTCTATCGAGACACCACTTATTGAAAGATTCATGTCTCTCGTTCAGAGATTCGACTCGCTCGTTCAGAGACTAGATACGAAATAAGGGTCTCTCTATGAGCGACTCGAGTCTCTCGTTCAGAGACGCTAAACAGTTTTTTTGACACTCTCTTTCAGGAATACCAGAGAGACTCCATGAGAGACGGAGACTCGAGTCTCGCTTTCAGAGGCTCTGAGAGACTGAACATTTTTATCTCGGGAAGAAGGAGTGGAAGTGCGTGTGCAACCAGTCTTAGGACTGACGACCTCATGATGATGATTAATACTTTTGGTGGACAGATAAACAGACAGACGGACAACAAAACAGGGGCATCATTGTGTGGTATCTATGGCAGAATCCTGTGCTACCTATGTGGATTCTCGAGCTTGGAGATTTCACTATATGTTGATATATATAGAAGGAGATACAATCTCATAGAAAAAATGTTTTTAAGTGATTGAGCTTGATAACTCTAAACTTATACTGTAGATATAGAATTTATTTAAGTTATTGTGGCGTTAATTCGCTGGGGGGGGGGGGCGGTAGTGTTAGAGGAGGTTGTTTCTTTTTGTCTTTGTATATAGACCAGCATGGCTCGGAAGAAGATTTATTATAGTGACGCCCCTGAAACAAAAAGTAATCCTATAAGGGTTTCGCTTCCTTTATTTCAAAGTATGACACTCTAAAATGGTGGAAAATTATCAAGGATCGGTAAAATAAACCAAAACATTTATTTCACTCGGTTATCAGGATTCCATGCAAATAAATAATCACGATTAAGTTCCCTATTTACCCAAATTAATATATATAAATGGACTAACGGGGATAAATACTTCTATATTCTGATGGTTATTGTTTTTTACATAAATATAGTACCTAGGTGGTACTTCACTACATAGTATAAAACAAAGTCGCTTTCCCGCTGTCTGTCCCTATGTATGATTAAATCTTTAAAACTACGCAATGATGGATTTTGATGCGGTTTTTTTTTAAAGATAGAGTGATTCAAGAGGAAGGTTTATATGTATAATACATGCATAATGTAGTAGGGAACCACTGATAATTTTAGAGGTTTCTTATGTCATGTCGTAAATAAACACATTTTTTGCGCTTACATTGCAAACGCTGGCTGAACCCTACTACAATATTGTACATCTTTAAAGGGTCTACAAAAAAAGTACGCGATGGTATATGTCTATCTCTATAACCCACAATAACCATTTTTATCCTTTACTTTTTATGAGAAATAATGACTTATTTACGAAGCGATTGTAGGCAATACAGCATTAATTCTTATCCAATTAAGTACCTTAAATACATTGTGCATTTACTATAGATCAATATGGCTCTTTACAGCATGTAATTTAAATGAATATTTTCGAAGATATTACAGATTTAAAATGCAGGGACATAGCGGTTGCGGTGGTACCGGCCGGGAGGCCGGTTTGTATTGTCTAATGACAAAAAAACTGTGAATGTTGTATTTAATGACATTCTGTAGTATATTTAGTATGTTCAGGGGGTATCTTTTGAAGATTTCCCCTTTTCGATAATAATCTAAACAAAACAAAAATATATTTAGTATCAACATTGCACCCGTGCGAAGCTGGGGCGGGTCACTAGTAAACTATAAGAAATGTAAAATAACATTAATTTTAATTATTAAAGAGACGTATAAATGGTGGAAGCACAGGGTTGTATGTAAATATGGAGGAGACTTTTGGTGTATTTACCTCGTATAGAACGTAATATACCTACGTAATAAGTCTAAATCTCCACTGCGTACGTAATTAACTGAAGAAAGACAGAGACGGGTTCGGCTTTATTAAAACTCAGGTGTACTTTCGTTTTAAAAGGTTTAGACGAGGAAAGCAACGAGGTTACAGGGTAATCGTGGCAACAGTGCCAAAAGCAAGGTACCTATAATCGGTAGCTGTCAAGAGTTATTATTCTCCGTCGTCCAATAAGCTGCTTGTGGCCGTCAGCCAAATTAGCACCTATAACAAAAGGAAATTCACATCAGAAGTGCTGCCTGCTTGGGTTACTTGTGTGTGCCGCGTAGGAAGAATAGGGGGCAAAGTAGGCGCATTTGTTGCAGTAACAACAGAGCAACGCAACGTGCAAGAAACTAACCAATTAGTGGGGAGACTTGTCTTGACAGCAGCAACGAGTTACACGCCTGAGCGAGCAGGGAGCCAGGGTGTTTCGATCCTTCCTGGCATTATATTGTGTCCTAACGCGACATAGGCACTCATCCCCTCATCGTCCTAATCCTGGGAAAGCGCACGTCAATGAAGGACCATAATGGTTACTGCCGTTGAGTCATTGGTTAATCGACGGTGGCTCCACCTCGGAAAACGCCCCTGAGCAACCAAGCGTGGCTACTCTCAGTCTGTTAGTATCGCGCGATGGATTCAGAGCGTTGCGAGGATACCTCGAGCTTGCTCTACGGCGCCGGACTGGAGGTGAAACCGCTCAGGATGGTGTCAAGTCCCAGCTCAGGACCACGTCATACGATCGACAACATACTCGGACTCGTCAAGAACAGCCATAAGGATATTAAGCAGTCCAACGAGGAGAGGTCTGTTACACCTGGAAACACGGAAAGTGCAGGTCAGTGCTGATAACATTTCTTTTTGAAAAGGCGATTTACTTTACTATTTAGATGCTTTTGTACGATATTATCTCCATTAATGTCGTTGTCAACTATTTTCCATTTTATATTCATAAGTTTTTCAGATAGTGGTGCTGCTTGCTAAACTGACATTTCTTCTGATTTTAAGGATATCTCATCATAACTTTATATTGCTGTACCATTGTATTGCTCCATTCTTTTCTGATTTCTTGAGCCTAATGTTAAGTGAGTAGTTCTTTCTCCAAAAGTCTTCTTTCAAATTTCATTGGATAATTAGGTATATCCCAATTTGATAGGTGAATAGGTATACTGTCAAAACCGCCAAAAGTGTCATTGGGCAATTTAGTACAGAGCCCAATAATTATTTTAGCAAAAATCTTAAGTATTATTCATTTCGTGCTTTTCTCCGTCGATCGCATTTAAAATCTTGATAAATATATCCTTTTCTCTTATGCTTCCAATTTTTTTAACTAAGAAATCCTAAAATCAGGCTTCAAGCTTCTCATTCCTTTAGGATCGTCGAAATTCTATTGAAATAAATTCCCAATTGCATGATACTACTCTACTTCTCCTCTGTGGAGATACCTGATAAATGATTACAGGAGAAGAAGGATAATCCATATCCTACGTTTACCAGATTACAATTTTCAATAAATTTTAGATTTTAATCCTAGCACTTGCTTTCCATTAATCAAAGATAAGGTCTTCTCTTGAATATGTTCCAACTGATGTGGATTTAGTGACAAAGCTAGCTGAAATAGGAAAACTTACAAGAGCATATGCTTACCGATACTTATTTTTCACTATTTCCGTGTATAAAAGGATTTACAATATAAATCAATATCCTTGGAATATTTTTTATTAAGCGGAAAAGTTTTGAGCAAAAAACCGCCTCTTTTAGTTTCAATAACTAAAAAATAAATGAGTCGTTTTAGCCTAAGAAATGTGTTGGTATCGAAACGAAATTCCGAATCTTATTTCGTTTTTAAAAATTTATAGATACTTTCGATACCAAGAAATACAATTAAAGTTTCCTTCTTGTTGAAATTTTTATTGCTAACCGTGAAATTTAAAATTCTGAATTTACACCGCATCATGCTATCTGTTGCCGACATTTGATCCTTAATCACATCAATGGACCTTAATGGACATCAATCTGAAATAGTTCTTTTGTTGTGACTATGTAATGTCCATCCCGGCGTGTAGATAATCCTCACATTATGTTAGGTTGTGATATTTCAAATAGAACCATCATATTAACTGGAAATCTCAAAACGGAGGTAATTTTTGATTTTAGGTTCATCAATCAAAATGAACCAGAACTGTATCATAAATTAAATCTTATAACCAATTCGTTTATCCCAATATAATTGTCTAATGTCTAATTGAAAATGGATTGGCGTAATTATAATACATTAACTGCCGTTGTATAAAAGACAATTACGATATGTATTTTGAGGTCATAATTTGAGTAGTGAGAGCTGTTGAAAGCAGTGCCGTTGTGTACAAGTCATACGCCACCGTTTCGTCATTATTAAAGTAAAACTCAAGGGTAACAAAGCACAAACAGAGACTTCGCACACCCACAAACCAGATCACGGCCAACTAAGTCACGGAAATTGTTAACATGTCAACTGCACCGTAACGTGCCACCCGCACCCGGCAGTAATCGAACAACATTGACTTGGACCGTTATTAATTACAATGTTGCCAATTAAGAAGCGGTTGTGTTTGAGAAAGTTTGTATGCGTGTAAGGGGATTTCGGAAATACGGCAATTTATTTTGAGGATGCCGTGGATAATAGAGAAGATTATAAATGAGAGAGTATTAAAATGAGAAGGAGAACAGAGGGCGCTATGGAAATCAATAAGAAATAGAAGAGATAGGTTGATGGAACACCTTCTCAGGTATGAAGGTCTAGTCAGAGACATATTAAAGACAGAAACGGGAGTTAGGAGGAGTAAAGATAGGCCTAGATTAGGTTACTATTTGTAAATAGTTAAGGATGTGGGTAATTCTAGTTTTAGGGAAATGCGATTATTAGCTCAGGACAGGAAAGAGTGGAGATGCGTGTCCAACCAGTCTTAGGACTGACGACCTTTTTATGATTATTAGAATGAGTAGGAGAACAGAGAGCGCTATGGAAGTCAATAAGAAACAGAAGAGATATGTTGGTAGGACACATTCTCAGGCATTAAGGGCTAATTAGAAACATATTGGAAGCAGAAACAAGAGTTAGGAGGAGTAGAGGTAGACCTAGAATAGAATACTGATCAAATTAAGGATGTGAGATGTTTTAGTGTTAAGGAAATGCAAAGATTAGCTCAGGATAGGAAAAAGTGAAGATGCGTGTCCAACTAGTCTAAGGACTGTCGACCTTAGGATGATGGTGAATTATTTTATAATGACCGTATAGTAAACCAACTCTGGACATGAAGGTCTAGGAACTATGTACAGTTTGGATAAATAATTAGGTACCTCATAGTGCCCTATCTCTCTACTCTTAGAGTAAAACTGTACAATCTATGTCTCAATACATCCAATTCCACAGAACATTCTTCCACGTTCATACCTAGAGCCTAGACAGTTGTCAAATTACTTCTATGATTAGGTTAGGTTACCTAAGGTTAGGTTTACCATGGCTTTAGTTATGTAATTTTAACAACTTTATTTAAGTCTAATAACAAGACCATAATTGGCTTGATGTTAGCTGTTTTTCATGTTTTAAAATACGTATGGTTCGCATACAGGCATTGTGAAAATGCAGCACCTCCTGTTTCCACATAATATGGGAGTATAATTAGATATGAGAATGTCAAGCATAATGCTAAACCACCTCCGCACAAAAATCTTTGTATGGAACTATGAGTAACGCAGTTCCAGAAATGTGGTGTTTGATTGTACGCGAGGCTACGAGGGATGGAGAGTAGTACTGCTGCTTTCGCAGTGCTGCTCCTGGAATCCTGGTGGAAGTTAGTTCTTTTTTGCGTGTATATGGTGTTTTACATAATTTTCAAATTATTTAAAACAAAGGTCAGATAACCGTGGATAGAAAAGGCTAGAACTGAGAATGTTTTAGAAATAATGAAAAAACAAAGAGCGCTATGGATGAAGAAATGGAATAATACGAAATAATAGGATAGTATACGTTGTATACCTTGTGAGACGTAAAGAATTACTTAGAAATATATATGAAGCAGAAACAGGAATAAATAGAAGAAGACACATTAGATTATTATTATTATTGTTCGCAGGAAGTACAGTTAAGGATAAGGATGCGAGGTGGTCTAAATTTAAGGAAATGAGATTAGCTGCATGTCCAACCAGTCTTTGGACTGACAATTCTATGATTATTATGATTCATGAAAACACTATTAATATATTTATTAGTGATTTATTTACAAAAGCTTAATATGTTTTGCGACAAATAGCCGCCGAGAAAGTTTTTTATTTTAATACTTTTAATTTCAATAGCAAATATGTGAGTTGTTCTAGTTTTAGGGAAATGCGATATGATGATGATGAATAGACAGTCTTATTTGTAACTATAATAATTTTATGAACTTTTGCTTAACTAATAAGGGGACCAATGCTAAATAAGCGAAGGCATATTTAATATTTATTCCTTTTAAAATAACGTTCTTCAAACATGCAATTAATCTACCTTCATCCTATTTGTCAATCTCGTAATCCCATCAAAATATAAATCCCCGTCAAGACGGCAAACGTCAAATTAGTGCTGCTGTCAATATAATCAAATACGCTTTACGAATAACCTTCCCCACAAGCTCTCTACTCCTCGTGTACGCGCTTTGAAACACGAGCACGAAAAACATTACTAATGGACTCCTGTTTATATAAACATTTTAATCAAACAGTGCTTAACTAATTTCCTGCTTTAAATTACTCGACTTTTAGACTTTGATATTTTTGACCCGTTGAGATTCGTGCCGGAAGGAAGGTCCTGTGGTACAATTAAAAGAAAAATCAGCGTAATTTCTAATTATTAACAATAAGATTGTGGAGTTCTGAAAAGGGGCACCCCCAGATTAGCTTCATATTGTTGTCACACATTCTCCTTTCCGGATTAAAAGGATTTTCACACGTTCCTACTTCATTCCCTAATATTTACCAGCAGGACTTTTCAAGTTATATATCTCAAAATTGCAGAATGTATGAATATTGCAAAAATCTACTTAAATTCACTTAAGCTTATAGAATAAAGAGGGGGGGGGCTGTTACCCACTTTGACCTAACCTACCTTTCTAATGTAACACAACACAAACCGAACTAACTCATGTTAGATTAGTTTAGATAAAACTAATTCAATTTATAAAATTACTTGTATTAATTGTGAAAAATGCTACATTGGGCAAACGAAAAGTCCTTTTAAGGTTAGAATTGTTGAACACAAGAATTGTGTAAGAAGAACTATTTCAAAAGATTATTTATTGAAGCCTATTCTATACTTATTCACTAGAACAAATGAATGAATGTCAGATCATACTTTAGTGATCAATAAGTATTATAACATACCTATACTATAAATTCAAGAACCAAAATAATTACCAAACTAAAATAATTTAGTAACTAATTTTAAAGGAACTAGCTAAGTGTTCTATTATAATTAACTTAATACTAGTTTTTACCTAAGTTAAACTAATTGTTAATTTACTTAATCTAATTTCAAATAACTGCCGTGTCCTATATTTTACAAAAAAAAACCCGCCACTTTAAATTTTAATTCTGAACGTTGTTTGTCACCACGTGATGTTTTAATTATTTGTCTTATATATTCTTTTAAATTCTTTGTTGGGTTGTGTTTATAGTGAAAATATCTACTGGCAATTAATTTAGGAATATAATTACTAGCTAGAGTGAGAAAAAAAATTATACTGATAACGCAACGCTCCGCGAAACCGATAAGAAATTGTGTTGACCATGCAATCTTAGTAAGGAACATGCCTTTCGTTAATT